AGTGGGGGGGGCTTTCATGTGGCTGCCACTGCCACGCACTGCTGCTGCACACCACTTTCCCACAGCCAGTCACATGTGTGGCTCTGCGGGCTGCTGACGGGCTTTGCACCCAGCCGGTTGCATGCTGCCTATCAGCAGCCTGCGGACTTGCATGTGTGACTGACTGTGGGAAAGTGGCGCGTGGTGGTGGAGTGGGGCAGTGCATGGCAGTGTGTGGGCTGGTAGCATGTGAGCCCCACCGCCCCACATCTGTCTGAAAAGGGGCACCGTTGCCCTTTACCCCCCGCCCTGTTCCTGAGAGCAGGCACAGAAACACGCTCCCACTCACCCTGCTATTCAGACCCTTTGTGCCTCACTGCTCTTGCAGATCTGCAGGCAGGGTGTGGCCATGATGCCTCCTCGCCATTGGCTGTTGACTAAGGGCAGCAGCCCAATGGTCAATCAGGAGAGTGAGCTGGGTTGGGAAGGCGCGTAGTGTGCTGTGTGGGGCTGGTGGTGCCTGGCATGCCCCTCTTTCACCCCTGCGCAATGTCTGGGAATGTGTTGGGGAGACACCGCTGCTTTGCCCCAGGGCATGCTCCGTCCCTACCTGTGCATACCCCCTATCACCTTTCCAAGTATCCCTAGGAATAAGCGTATCCCCAGCTAACACTCCATGTATTAGATCATTAAAGTGAATCTGAATGATAATGGTCAATTTGTGTAAAAGCTATGAACATCAACCATGCTGGAAACCCAAGAAAAATAGCAGAAATGAAGGAAATGTTTGACTACTCTCTGGGGATTAAGGATGGGGAGAGAAACTCTCCTCAGGTTTCTAGTTAACTTTGTCCCCTTTGCATATCTCTACCTTTGCATATCTCTACCTGGAGAAACTTTTGTTTGTAAGGAAGATCAAGGTATCTCTTACCCCAGACACATGTATTCAGATGGTATGAAAGGTAAAGGAAAAAAAAATGTCTTCTTGACTTGAGAGGTTCATTTTGCTGTAAGGTGTGAGGCTTTGTATACTGAATGCCAGTGTATACATTTTCCATAGGTTATTCAGATAAAATAGGGCTGTCCAGCTGGCAGGCTATGTGCAACCCACTGTGCCTGTGGTCCCTAGGCTCCTATGCAGCTGCTGCACCCTATACTGCTCTGGCTGCAGCAACAGCCAGGATCTCCGGGAGGCTTCTGCTTCCTCCACTGCACCATGGGGCAGGGTGATGCTGGAGAAGCTTGCATATGGTGGGAGGGCTGCCCCTGGATGTGGTGCAGCAGTGAGGGAGTGTGTTGTCCAAGTGGTCTGCAGTTTGAACTGTTGAAGGCCGTGCAGTGTGTGGCCCCTGCTGGTGTAGCCCTCATGGGATTCAGCCTCCAGCTGCTTAAAAGTTGGACAGCCCTGAGACAGAACATTGTGTTGATGTTTTTAATCAGAATCCAGTGTCATGATTTCTCTTACTGTAAGATAATGCATGGCCTTCTTCCCTCTTCCTTACAAAAATTACTCTTTTTTCCTTTCAGTATTCACCTGCTAACTAGAGGAAAAACTACGTGCCCCTTAACTGTAGAGCATTACAAGCCAATTCCATGGCGTCCTCTGCTGCTGTGCCTGTAGGATTTCACTATGAAACAGAGTATGTTGTTCTCAGCTACCTGGGGCTGCTGTCACAGGAGAAGCCACAAGAGCAACATCGTCCCTCAGTTCAAGGTAATGTACTGTATTTATATCTGAGACTGCTTTATCGATTAATTTAAGCCCTGCAAGCTTCTTACTGTTGTATCTGTAAATGTAAAGAAGACATTTAGAATTGTGTATTTTATTCGTGTGGGCATTCCTAAAATAAAATGAAGAGCTGGCAGTGGACAAAAATAATTTTGCAACTTCTCAGGATATCATTGATATCTATTATCCTTGTTGAGAGCTGTCAGAAAGGGCTGTTTGCAGTAGCACTTTTTAGGCAAGTCTCCATTGTCACTTTACAAATAATGATGGTGTAAATAGGAGGTCAAGTGATTTTTATCGCTGTATCTAAGTTTCTGCAGTGGTTTTAGACAACACCATGGTTTCAGCGCTTGTTCCTTATCTACATTATTGTTTCCACTGTTACTGCTGAAGAACTAAAATGTTTTAAAGTTTATTTTACATTTTACGGTAAGTAGCCTTGTTAGTGTGGGGCTCAGGAGTTAATGCTAGCCTTATTTATCTCTTGTACTGGTATTTGGAGGAGTCTTTGACTTGTGCACTAGCTACTTAACCTCTCTCTATTCACATCCTTTTTAAACAACTCCTCCTTGAAGGTTAATTGTTAACCCAAACTCTAGGGAGACAGAAGCTATGGGGAAAAATATATCCTATTTGAAGAGCTGCTGCTTTTCCTTTGTTAGGTTGTAATGTAATTATATATAGTAACTTCCAGGACGAAACATCTCTTATTCTTCCATGGTAAGTACCAGACAAACATTTTCTTTCGTACAACACCCCCCTTCACCCTCCCCTCCTGCAAATAAAACATGCACCTCGATTTTGGAAGGCAGAATGTAGCAAGAAAGATTATTCCAGTGTTATGGCTGACTGTGTGCTATAGAGTATGTCCTCCTGGAAATGTAGAGTGTTCAGAAAGTGAGACATCAGGAAATTCTTGGTGTGGCAGATTGTTTTCTGCAGTGTCACGCTACTGGGACACTGTTTCTAGGAGAACTTCTGTCACAAAGTTAGGCCCCATACACTTGCAAAGAGCAGTAGCAAGACTGCTACTTTATTGTAAGTAGTTCTTTATAGAAATTCTTGTAAATAAAGTGCTGTTTCCAATCACAAGCCTCATCAAGATACTACCAACAACTCACTCCTGCTTCAAGTACAAGCTACAATGCTCAGCCAATAGCTACAGGTGTGAGCAGGTTAACACAAGCCTGTGCCCCTTCAGTTTGCTGATCAGAAGGCAGCTATCTTGGCTGCTGCATAGCATGCATGGTGTCTCCAGGAGTGCTTCTTTTCCAGATAAGAAAACAGCTTTACATATGGAATCATGCATATGTAAACATGATTCCAGAGTGTGTCTATTAGGCCTTGCAAAAATAGAGAAATGAAGAGAGAAGCAGTGTCAGAAAACATTACCACAAATTGTTCATATGTTAGAGATGCTCAAATTCACACTTTTCAATCTGTACAATCTTAACTGTTGTATCTTTAATGAACTAAGAGCCCATTTGTTCTCTGTCAATATAATTTCCATTGTAAATATTCTTCCTGGCCTGTGAAGGGGTAGGCACTTCAGCACCAAGAAGCTTATGTTTTGTGGGAAAGTGCATGTTACTTGGCTATCAGAGGGATGACCTCTTATTTCCTAATGTGGAATAAGCTGATTGTTTGGTTAAAGATATGAGATAAATCATACATTTTAGGGGTGGTATGTTTTATTTAACCAACTGCCTAGTTGGGAGAGATTTTTAGACAAGCTTTTGGACCCGAGGAATTGCAAGATTTTCTCAAAAACTTGTCTAAAATCCCTTCCAACCAGGCAGTTGGTCCAATAAAAGACCCCCCCCCAAAAAAAAATCTCTCTGCCACTCGCATACTTTATGGACCATCACAACTACCAGACCACACTTTGATTGAAGACATACTGGTTAAAAAAAATTTAATGAAAGAGAGACAGCTGTGTATGCTAAAATGTAAGATTGAAATGGAAATGTTTAGTTTTTAGTCTCTTTCTGAAACATATTTTTCAAGATTTAAATATAAAAAAAATCCTTTGGGAGGAAATAGAGAATTATGTAAGAAGAATTTTAGTTGAGTATGATAGTATTTCAGCTGACCTGAGGAAAGTGCTGGTAATATTTTTGTATTCGGTTAATGGGACTTTTGAACTCCTGAGTAAAGATTGCTAGGTATCAAGTTTGCTAGATAGCATAAGAGATGTTAATTTATACTATAGAAAGATGTGGTCTCAAACATTCTGTTTGTTTATTCTAGGATAGTAACACTTAAAAGAAAAATCTTTTTTTCCATTCTTATTGCTTTAAGCTCACCTCTTAAAAAAAAAAAAATTGCACATACAGATCATCTTTGTCAGACTTTCTGATGTCTCCCATTTTCATCCCCACACCTTC